ATTGGGTTTGGATTTAATTTAATTATTGACAGGATCCCAAGCAGGTGGTTATAACATACGTCAACTCCATTTTTTTTTTGTAAAAATAACAGCTACTCTCAGCAACAAACATGGTATGTACAAAATTACTATACTACTACATTAGACTAGATTTGTAACTTTAATGTTCTGCGTTCTGAATTCACTGTAATCTTTGCAATGACTTGGATCTTTACACCCACAATAGCAGTTAGATAGAACGCGGTGACCAAAGAGTAGGTAATAGCGAGCGCAGAATGCTGAACTTTGAACTCGCCTGGACCGCTGTCTGTGGTCTTTAAATCTATATCTATACAAATAAATAAAATTGAAGTGTCTGTTTGTAATGTAACAATACCAGCTTTTTACTAAATGCATATGAAAGTATATACGGTACTCATAACAAAAATGCAATTTTTAAAATTTTTGTCTGTCTGTCCGTCTGTCTGTCTGTCTGTTTGTTCCAGCTAATCTCCGAAACAGCTGGACCGATTTCGACGGGACTTTCACTGACAGATATCTGATGTTATAAGGAGTAACTTAGGCTACTTATATTTTAGAAAAATAATTAGGGTTCCGCGCAACATAATTAAAACTCTAAATTACACGCGGGCGAAGTCGCGGGGAACAGCTAGTACAAAATATAACAGTCTTCTACTTTACTTAGCAATTTTTATTTGAAAAATCTTACACATACATTACATGTTTTTATTTTCAATTCAGTTAAATATATTAAATTGTTTTCTTGATTGCGAAGAAGTTCCAAACAACGTAACAGATAAATTTCATTTATGTTTCAAGTCTCAATATGCAATTAGCACCATTAACTTGTTGTAGCATTCTTTCTAAATATCAGGAAGAGGTTGCCATGAGCAAGTTCCTTCCAATATCTGTATAATACATAATTGGATCTACCGGGGATGGTTCTAAAGAAATTTATTAAAAATATACGTTAACATCTATAATATAAAAATAATTCGCTGAATGTGTTACTAAGCGCAAATCTTGAGAGCAGCTGAACGGATTTCGCTAATTATTTTTTTATAATATTCCTTGAAGTACGAAGATGGTTCTTACGGAGAGAAAAATTGCCTGAAAAAGTCTAAAAACAACACTTTTCTATATTCCCATACAAAAGATTCGTAATAATACTTAAAAGTCAATTTAAACTTTAATACCATACCATAAAGTTTAAGTGTTAGTGGAGGGGTTCCGGGAAGGCAATACAATTGAGTGACGTTAGTATCAAATAAATATTATATCGTATCGTATCGTATAAATATTTTTCAATATTTATACTATGGAAACTTAATTGAGAATAAGTAAAATAAAATGAAATATAATAAGTATGTAGGTATCATAATAAAAAATCAGAAATTGGAATTTTCATTGTGATTTTTAGTGACTATTAAAAGAATTTTAAGTGTTTTATAATTTTTATTTTTTGACATAATGTAATTGTTGACTTATCAACTGTCTTTTTTCTTTTTTTATCTTACTAGCTGACCCGGTGTCCCGAATAGCAGAATGAGTATTATAAAAAATTGAAGAATCGACTGTTAGGCGGTACAAAGTTCGCCGGGTCAGCTAGTTTATATTTAATTTACGTTATTTTATTTAAAAAAAATATGCAGTTTTTTTAATGGTATTAGTGCTTGTAATTCAAATTATTAAAGTAGGTATTCTTACAATATGCTGTTGATTAAAAAAAATATTTTCTTGGATATTAATAAAAACGCAAAAGCTTAAAAATTTTCGATAATAAGTATACAAATTGTTTTTTATATAATATGGTGACAAACGAGCACACAGTCCACCTGATGTTAAGTGGTTGCTGTGCCCCATAGACATCTACATCTATCATCGTTTGCGAATCAATATGCAGATGCGTTGTCACCCGTGAGGACTAAGATAGAATGCCTCTTTTCCAGTAAAAAGGGTCTCCGGTTCTCTACACTCACCATACGAAACACAGCAGTGTTAAGCTGCTATTTTACGCTGGTATTCTGTGAGATCGTGGTCCGTCCCGGGTCGAGCCGATCCATTCATGCTACACCTAAACTACTAATATAGCTGCAGCATGACTCTACTACGTAAAATAAATCATGTTTTACTCAATCACATAATTATTACGAGAAAGAGTTGGCATGAAACAAAATTTACATGCAGATAAATCTAAAATTGCATTTGGATCAGTCATACGTTGAGTGATCCAAAAGCAATGTTAGATTAAACAAAGAAATAAAATGGCAAATATTACGTACAAAAGGATAAATTGAACGGGAGGAAACTGCAGAAACGTCTTTATGTGTACAAAGAACTCATTCAATGCTGAAAGTGGAGCAAAGTTTGCAACTTTATAGATTAAAGTGTAACCGTTTCGCCGTCTACAACACTAATATATTATAATGTCGAAGTTTAAGTCGTCAGACTTATTTTGATTGTTTTGATTTCATTATTAATATTGATATTTCTTTTATAAACACTACGTAGATACGATAATATACCAAATGATACATTCACTCGTAATCCTTTAAACTTATTGGACGTGTTTTTCGAGCGGATTGTTTATACAGGCTGTTGTCTACGATGAGTTATACTGTTCAATATTGACGTTTATTGTTTCTAGATTTGCCAGACACCTCGTAGACGGCAACAGAATATGATTCACATTTTCATCTTGATGCACGTGTTGCATTTGCATTTACTAAATGTTGAAGAATTTTGATAGAACATCATACAGAGCTTAAAAAGGGCCGAGGCAAATTTAATCACATTTTTTCAGCGACCATTCTGTATTTATCTGCAGGTAAATCCTATGCCATATTTGTATCCGCCATGATGTTATCTGCAGATATATTTGTATGAGCAGATAATATTATCACCGACTTTCGATGTAGGTCAGTGACTACAGATAATTTTAACGATAAAATATAAATTATCTGAGCTCTGTGTGTTAGTTCTTTGAACTTTATAGAGTGTGATTTTTAAAGATTTGCGCTCAGACACAGATATCTTATCGTATCTACGTAGTGTGTGACTCGCTTAAGAAATTTAAAAAAATTAAGTCGTCATGTTCGCCAACACGCATTGGGGTAGCGCGGTGGACATCTCTTTAGTCTCAAAACTCTCTCAGAAATGAGAAGAGGCCTGTAGCCAGGAGTGTGACGGGTATACTAACTTTATTTTACTTTTTAACGTGACCATTTTAATCAGGATTTTCAGTGCATTATGTTTGTTTTGAGCTATGTCGGTTACTCTGGTTCTACTGCGGATATCCTCGTTTTTAAGTCTATCACGTGGAGAAACGTATAGTATAGCCCTCTCCATATCTCCAGGCATAAAGGCCAGCAGTGAAGGACCACGTCTCAGATACATAGTTATATCACTGGCAACACGCACTGGTTGTATGATCTAGTTTTGAGGTTTTGAGGTGTTTGACGTGGAGATGTGTCGTAATCTCCAAAAAAAAAAGTGTCAAAGAATTAGTATGCTGAAGTGGCAATGGGCAAGTCATAAGGCTCGAAGAACCGACAACCGATCTGGAGGAAAGGTTCTCGAGTGGCAGCCTCGTACCGGCATGCGAAGTATAGGCCGTTCCCCACTAGATGGAGTGACTACCTGGTAAGACGTGCAGTAAGTCAATGGATGCAGGTGGCTCGGGACCGAGCTTTGTGACATTCCTTGAGGGAGGCGTATGTTCAGCATTGGATTGTATATTTATTTTACCGTGTACTGGCGGTGTAAGAATATCCACTACCCTATATCAACTATTAGGTCTATACCTAGTAGAAAGATTACGAAAGGCAGAGGGAAACTGAACTAGAAGAAGGGCAGCAGCATGTTCCCGATAACAACTTAATATAATACGTAACAAACTGGCAACTATGACAAATATGGGGGATATTGATATAAGACAAATTATACGGAAGGCATATGTTCAGCAGTAGACTGATGGGCTGTGTGGCGGCGCTGTCGTCGCGCCACAAACGAAAAACATATCGTAGCCTAAATCGCGCTAACAAAGTTCCGTAGTTAAAGCAGCATATATAGAATAGCTCCGAACTACCAATCGGAGCGTTGGCCGCTCCCCGGGCAGAACACCTTGCCCGGTGGGAGATCTCCCCTTTTCCTTCCCACCCGCCACAGTGGTGACCAACCGACGTGATATGAACACGCAACCAATAACCTTCGGAAATTACACCTTCAAACCTTCATCATCCTTAAGTACCCCATTCGTTCGCTCCCGAGCAGATATTGTCTGCAGTCTTCACATTCTGCAAGCCATCTAGCTTTACAAAGGTTCATCGCAGCACTGGAATAATAATGCTTCCTGTTCCTTCAAGCTACTCTCTGCGCTACGGTGTTCGGCACGGCTCTGAGCCTTACTGCTCGCCTCTGCTTCACGGCACTCTCGCAGATTACTTGCCTTCTTCTCGACTCACCGCAGACTACAAGGCAATTCCCTGGCACTTGCAAATTTGTTGACATCTAGACTGCACTATGGACCTCCAGTCTGAGCAGGGGGGTGATGTGGCGGCGCTATCGTCGCGCCACAAACGAAAAACATATCGTAGCCTAAATCGTGCTAACAAAGTTCCGTAGTTAAAGCAGCATATATAGAATAGCTCCGAACTACCAATCGGAGCGTTGGTCGCTCCCTGGGCAGAACACCTTGCCCGGTGGGAGATCTCCCCTTTTCCTTCCTACCGCCACAGGCTGTATTGGTCATTTTTGTCCAATAGATTTGTTGGAATAGTGAATATTCAATAGAGCAGTCGGAAGCTATTAACAGTGCATAAAAAATTGTTGCTCCCTTACTGTTTTGAAAGTGTTCGAAATATATTTATAATTTCTTATAAAGAAAAAAAACTTCACAATATATGTAAAAATTGAAAACAGTCAATTCCTTAATTAAAAGAATTCTGATTATTTATAACAAAAAGTTTTTAAGTACATTAAAACTTATAAATCAAAAATACCTCCATACAGTGCTGCTATCCGTATCTTTTATCTCCTTTGTCAGGTGAATGAGCAATGCAGCATTCGCGTTGGTGTACCATTCCACAGCCTCCGTCATTGATGTACCCGGGTTGATGTTCGCTCTGTGAAAACAAGCTCTATGTTAATATAACAAATAATAATAGTAGTAAAATTAAAAATTTTGTAAAATCGACTTTAATATAAATACAATGAGAACATCATCAATGTAGTCGAAGTCAATTAAATACGCATTATTAATGATAACTCTAAACTACTGGTCAGATCTTGATCAAATATATATGGAACCACAAAAGAAGCACCAGCTTTTAAATAAAAAAAGAATCATCAAAATCGGTTCACCTAGAAAAAAGTTCCGAGGTAACCGCACAAAGAATACAGTCGAATGTAGTACCTCCTCCTTTTTTGAAGTCAGTTAAAATAGAAATATATTTATTTTACCATTAAAGTAAGCTATCAGCACATCACCAATCTATTGTTGAATATCTTCAAAAGATTGCCACAAAGCACGGCCCCGGAGTTTCCTACTGTATCTATGGACTACTTTATTTAAAACCCAAGTTGTCGTTCTATCTGCAATATTAATTATAAAATTGAATAGACAAGTAAACTAATAGTTCGTTTGATGGAAAGTAGTTACTGCAGCCCATTCACACCTGCAACCAAGTTTAAACAAAGTGGGCTAGAGATGCGTATTACCACTGAGGACTAAAATGGAATTCCTCTCAGACCGTCAGTATACTGTACTCCTATACAATACCGTCAGACCTTAACGCAGCACTGCACGTACTGCTTCTCGACAGCAGATGTAGATAATAGAGTGGTTCTTACCCAGACTTCCTTACTCTTTACTCTGTGTCCAGACATTACAACTTTAGCTTATAAATACCATCAGTTTCATTTCGCATGTAATATATTTTATTAAAATTGTTATTGCAATTTTTTTCCTTAAAAACCACGTCACACGTGTCAACGTTTTAAATGATATATACATATATATATATATATATATATATATATATATATATATATATATATATATATATATATATATATATATATATATATATAGGAGAAATTTCTCCTTTTCTTAATTGTAATTTTAAGTGTTGATTTATCAATTTGCGGTAAAGGAAAACATCGCGTGGATAAACTTCTTTTAGCTCCTTAGCCCACTCGATATATAATGCACATTGGCTATTATTTTTATTTAAATTTGCAATATGGATGTATTCATCGAGAATGTCTTTCTTAAGACCGAATTACGATCACGGCGGTCAATCTCAACGGATACTATCCATGTGCGCAGGATAGCATCATAGTGCACGAGTGTGTGCTCAAGTACGTGCACTCTCAAGCTTAGGTCCACTCTCAATTCTCTCACTCTCATAGTTCAATAGGACGGTAATTCGACACGATCGGCGATATATTATGCACAGGACCAACGACTTTACTTGATTTTCGTGGCACGTAAGTGAAACCACCACCAACTTCCTGACACCGGGCTGTTATTGAGATTTTTTTTTACAGACAAAATCTATAACTGATATTGGTTCGACCCAGGATTTGAATCCAGAACCATATGAATATCAGTCGCGCAAACACTAACTGCGCTAACACTAGACCAACGAGACAGTCAATAATATATTAAGAATAGGCTTTTGATAAGTTGGTGATGACGTAGCCGAAGATTGTAATTCCGCTTTACTGTTTTCGACTACACCACTTACTATCACATTAATAATAATAATAATTTATTTTATTTTCTCACCACAATACAGAATTATTGTACATAATATTATAGTATAGCCTCAATAATATACTGTGGGAGACTGGTGCCTAAGCTAGGCTTTATGCCTGTATTTCAGGACGCCAGGTCTCCGCCCTATGGTTCTAATTACAATACTTTTATTATGCACTCGTATATGTACCATATTTATAATTTACATAATATCTCCTTTCATTTACTTAGGATTCTACATATATTAACTAGTATTAGTATGTGTGTGTGTGTGTGCGTGTGTGTGTGTGTGTGTGTGTGTGTGTACATTAAATATTAGGCAAGCGCAGGCTTATAATAAGTAAAACAAAATAAAGGTTTAACTAATACATATTAGTTGAGATTATTGGATATCAATAATAAACGTGTTAGTAGCTTAGAACCGTGCTCTGAAACACGGTGTAAGTATTAAGCGTTCATCAGTTGCCTGAATTGAAAGTGTCGCGTAATTTCCACGTGTAATTACTGAGTTCAGTTTGTCCACGGTAAAGTTTGTCGTCCCTCGATCGCGCTTAATGACTGTTTATGGAAGGCATTTTGTGAAGGAAATTCCTCTTAATTAATCATTAATTTGAATTCCTTTAGATTTTTTCTTTCATTTTAATTCTGTATAGAGATTCTTCCTTTAACTTTGTTTGTAATTAATTTTGTGAGTTATTTTAAGTGATCCGTGCCGAATTTGGCCTTTTTGGCGCCTGACGGATCATGATTTAAAAACAAAAACGTGGTAAAGTTCCCTTTATGAGGCAATCTATTGGGAAGGCTTATGTTCAGTAGTGGACTTTATAAGCTGTAATGGATAGATGGAGTGCTAATGCGCCATTTTATAATCCTATACTTGTCGTGTATGAATGTTATATTAACATAATTTTGCTATATTGTTTCTAGGGCAGGCGATGACCTTTACGCTAGCTACACGCGTAACCATCCTTTTTTGTGGTTCTTTATGATTCAAAATCTAACGGTAGTATAGTATCCATACCAAAAAAAAAATTATTTTATGACAATTGTATTTATTATAATTATGTACATATAAAGATGTTATGATTTATATGTGTCCTGCTTCTAAAAAAACACCTTGACAACTGAAAAACAGAAGAAAGAAAACGTGTTTGGCGCATCCCTTAGACCAATTTAAATTTTATTCAATTCAATCTTCATTTTCACTGTCGCTCTCCGATGGCAAACACGTATAGAATTCCGTTACATTAATTAAAATAATTATAAACCTATATCGACAGATTTATCCACGACGTGATCCCGGTCATTTAAATTATTTTCTTCTTTTATCACTGCGTCGACACAGTTTTCCCATTTAGTGGCATCAATTTAATTAAGGCCTTCTTACATTGAGTTATATGTACTACGTACTAGAGAAGCCATTCCAAACAAAAAGTGTGTCCTACTCTATGTCTTCGCGCATGCGCGGGAGTAGTAGTCACGCATGCGCGAAGACTTTAATTTAATATAAAATAAGATATTAATATAAAATAAATATAAGAATTTAATATAAAATATCTTAATTTAGTCTAAACAAACATATTTCTAAATAAAATTTAATAATAATTATTTTGTGGAATTCACAAATCTTCAATTTACGCAATATTTAGTTTGTATGGATTGCACTACAGTTCAGTTGAACATAGTCAATGTTCGGAATGGCTTCTCTAGTACGTAGTACATAATATAACTCAATGCCTTCTTAGAACAGCTTCTTGACATCTGTCATTTTAAAAGTAGTGTTGTTTCAAGTAACATAATATATTAAAACACATATATCTGATAAACAGCTTATTTCGCCATTTCGTTAGTAAAGTATATAATTTGTCATTAATTTGTTTTACTCTTGTAAGTAATTTAGTTTGGAGTCGCTATTTTCAAAATCAATGCCAATGTTTGTTATCTCTGAATGACCGCGCTAACCGTACCCTGTACCAATAAACGTGTTGTTATGCGTTAGCGATAAAGAAATGTATAGAAAGCGACAGGTTTCCTTTTTATCTACGCAAACATAATAGGACGTGTCATTGACTGTTTTTTCGTCTGCCCTAAAAACTATAGTAATAGTTTAGACTATAGTTGCATGTTGCACGAGAATATTCCCGAAGATAAAGGTCAAACATCCATCACTGTGTAGGCCTAAGAATAGATAACGCATAAACTAATTAATGCAAGCGAGACGCAACCTTATGTCTACTTAAACAAAGCCTTTTCTCCTTTGGACATGTTTTTAATCGTGAGTGTTCTAGTGATTTCCCATTAAAAGAGGTGAATGTCTGATTTCAGTTCTGAACATTCTTGGTCAATATTTTATATTTCTCTTTCTACTTACATTATGTTGACTGTATTCTCGCTTGTCACCCTTATTATTTCTATCAGAAATAAAATGTCACATTATATAAACGTTTGTTTGTACATTATAAATGTTATAAACATGAACAGATAATACGAATGGTCATTAAAACTATTAAAGATTTAGGTAATATTTCAAGGTGTGTCATATCGAAAACACCACCCATCTCAAGATTGTTTAATTTTTACGAGTACGCCGTAAGTTTGTATATCGACGATAAAATTGTAATTACTTTTTTATGGACTGTTACTCTCTTGGCTATAATGGAGTAATTTTGAATATGTGTGTATTTATGTATGTTAATCTTTATTCATACTTATTCTGATTTATACCGTGGACCTATTTGTTAAAGATGTGAAAATAACTTTAGCTTTTTGGTAAAGAAGAGTGGGCAAACAAGATTGCGATTTTCGTTGAAGGTCATACAGAGAACCATACATTCTTCCAAAACCCACTATACGGCGTTAATGGGAGATTCAACGCAAAACTAGACACAAGAGTGAACGATGAGCTGAAGGTAAGGAAATTCGGGATAGGGTAACGGAACTCAAGGGGCCAGCAGCTCGCCGATTCCATGGAGAAAGAGGGAATCTTTATGATGAACTCTTTCTTCTAGAAGCGGCCCTACAGAAAAAGGATCTGGTCGAGCCACGACGGTTCGACAAAAAACGATATTGTTTTCATTATGACGACTAGACGGCAACTGTTCAGTGATGTCTCAGTCATTGCGATCGTGAAAACTGTCAGAGATAGTGAGAGGCACGCTGAACCTAAACGTTAAGTTAGAGAGGTCATGTCTAATGAAGTCAACGGTCCGTCCCCCTCGTGTTTTAATCCAAAGCCCCGAAAACTTTCAGATCGAATTACAAAATCTTAAAATAATTTTCAGTGCCTAGAAAACTGCACAACGCAGTGGACGATATGAATGACAAGCTTCTGCAAGACCCGTCGCAGAAAAGCACAAAAAAAGC